TAGTTGCATTCAGGGTGCTATTGATGAGACTGAGAGATGGACAAGTTACCGAGATGGACTGGAGACTATTAACAGAGCACTCCAGACCTAACATTGCAATGGATCGATTTAGTGATGCTATCCGGCTGTACTTTGATAAAAAAAGTATCGCTGAATATAATTATGAGAAGTTGCTAGAGATTGGACAACCATTGGTCAAAATTCAAGCAAGGCATTCTGGTCGGGGTGCAAGTGCGGCAACATCTGATGAAGCAGGTGGTTTGGAAGCTGTTCTCTTTTTGTCAACTAAAGCAGAAGTGATGATGACATGTAACCTTTGGGCAGAAGTTGGTCTTTGCAATGGCTCTTTTGGAACTATAGATCAATTTTGGTTTGCGGAGAATATGGGTCCACCAAATCTACTGATTGCAGTACTGGTTCATTTTCCGGCCCTTCGTTTCTACAAGAATGTTCAAAGTGTATACCTGTGCCTCCAAGACTGTTTGAGTGGATGGCGGATGGAAAGTATTTGTCAAGACAACAATTGCCCTTGCGGCTGAGATATGCAATGACGATGCACAAGTCCCAAGGACAGACACTAACCAAGACTGTTGTTGATTTAGGTAAAGGGGAGAGAGTTTCTGGCTGCACAATTGTGGCAGCATTCAGGGTAAGGTCAATTCATGATATTGTGTTTGAACCTATGACATTTGATCATTTGAAGGTGATTAGCAGGAATAAAAATATGAAGAAGCGACAAGAAGCAGAACGACGACTTTGTGTGCTTGCAGAAAAGACTGAGCAGAGGCATAAGTATTGAAAATCAGGTGGATGAATTGTACTGTAAGTTTGTGTTGCTATATATTGTTCAATGATACTGGGCACCAATGTGCTTTCGAGGAAAGACTTGCCTGTTACTAGACACAATTTTGGAAATGAAATTGCTAAAAAAATGGTTAAACACATTTCCTCTATTATTGTATTTTTGAGGAGGGCAATTTATCATGTAAACATGTGTAATTGCCTGTTACTAGACATAATCTCACGTATTATGTTCTTGAGGGTGGCTATTGACATGTACAGATTTACATTATATTAAAGTTTGTTCGTTTTACTAAAAGACATAACAACATCAATCAGGTAAGATACAAGATATAACAATCAACCGTTTCACTGTTCAAAACTCTTTACTTTATAATTGTGTGTATGCGTTATGCAATTTACCTGGTGACTGAAAAAGAGTACACGCAAAATCCATGTATAGCATAAATTTCAAAAAGTGCGCGAAAATATCGTCCTGTTCTGTGTCACTGAAATTTGGACTGAGGTGAGCCATATTCATAATATCAAACTTTATAAAATATTGTACATTTTCGAAGTTCGCCCAATAAATATACTAGACTTATCGCTTGTTGACAATTTAATTTACAAATTTGAGGAGAAACATTTTTGGAAGAAACTGCAATAACTTTTTTATTGCATTTAAAAAAAAACAATTTTTGCAACGCTGATGGCTGATGCGTTTTACCTTTAGGAAATAATGAAAATATATTTTTTCTTATATTTTAGATTAACAGAAGTTTGCAAAAAAAGCTTAAACATGTAAGTTTGTTTATATTACAATAGATATATTTTTTTTTAAACTAATATTTGTATTTTATGATTTTTGAGCTTGCCTCAAGTTAAGTACCCTATATGATGCTAGTGACTTTTTTTCCTCAATATATTTTTTATGTTGATGGCATATTTATATATACTGTAAAGATCTAAAGGAGACAAAGAAGATGCAACATGTTGGTAGTGCAATTATTGTATTAATACCTCTACTTTACCAACTATTTTAGTGGAGAATAATGAGGATGAGCTCATACTTGGCATGTATATAGGCACATATTTATATATCTTTCACTCTGAATGTACAAATTAGCAACTGATGAAAATGTCGTTGATCATTTCCAATGTTCAAAAATCTGATTTAACAATTATTTGTTAGATTTTAGACATTGATATTGATGATGATGATGATGATGATGATGGTAAATACAATTAAAAAAACTATTTGAAATATTATTTTTGTCACAGTTAGTTAATTTGTAAGTCTTTTCACATAGCACTAAAATGATAACACATGCAACTTTTCTTTCACTATAGAAATTGAAGCAGTCCCTGACCTGGCCCAGGGGCAAGATGAACAACCAGGTAAGTTTCATGATTGATGAGATTTATTGATGCATGGTTTCCCCTGCACAACTAAAATACTTTCATTTAATCTAGTAAATCCTCCACCTCAAGAAAGGCCTGGTATGCTGATTGAATATGCACACAAATGATATGTTCTTTGAAATTTTGTATATAATGTCTATATATTTAACATTTTATGATTAGAAATGTATAGTGAAGCAATTGCATCTTGATATTATATTGAAATTAACTAACTTATATTTTTAATTCTCAAGCCTTGCAAGTTGTAAACCATGAAGGTATATATCAGCTACTTTGTTCACTATTAGTTATTTTATGTATTAAGTGATGATGATGCATGATCAAGTTAATTGTTATCAATTTAAAACTCTAAAATTATAAAGGATACCAACTATCATTACATGTATTTATGCAATATGTCAACTAAGTTTGTTTTATTTTTTTTTAGATTATTGCCCACCTGGGCCACGCCCTGTGTTTTTGGGGGCAGGCAGAGGTACTGTATGATTCATTATATCCACAACAATTGTTTTATGATTAGAAATGTTAAGTGAAGTAATTGCATCTTGATATTTTAATATTCTCTTTATGCTATTATTTTTAATACACGCTTTGATGTTTATATATTCTTTATTGTGCTGTTGTTGCCATTACTTTTCGGAATTTTCTTGAAATGGGAAATGTTCCGTTCTATTACATGACCATCTTTACTCCGTGCTTTTATCACAGCCTTCTTTCTGTATACAACCTGATATGGTGTTGTGTTAAAATGAGATGTTAACTTGTTTTGTTTTGGCTGTTTAACCAATACATGATCTCCAACGGTGATGTTGCTTTTCTTGGTGTTTCGTCGGTTGTTTATGTACGTTTCATTATATTCTTGGTGTTTTCTTTCTCTTTCACGCGCTTCGTTGTGTCTGTTCACAACAATTTTCTTGTTCAGTACGGGTAATGTTCCTCGAACTTTTCGGTTAAATAATAACTCGGAAGGTGGAACACCAGTCGAACTGTGAGGTATTGTACGATATTGTAATAAAAAATGACTCAATTCTTGTCTCCACAGTTGACTTTGAAGTTTTGCTGTTTGCAATACTTTTCTGAGACATTGCATGAAGCGTTCTGCTTGTGCATTACCTTGGGGCCATAACGGGGTGGAGAACTTGGGTGTTATTCCTAAGGTCTCTAAGTATCGTTTGTAGTCAGAACTGTTGAATGGTGGTCCATTATCTGAGATGATTTCGTCTGGAATACCGTGGGTCGCAAAGATCTTATCCAGTTTTGGTATCACTGCTGATGCTCTCGTGAAGTGTACCACTTCTACTTCGGGAAATCAAGAGTATCGATCAATGACTACGAGTAGATATTCTGTCGTAGGCAAAGGTCCATAGAAGTCAACATGTAAGGTTGTCCATGGGTGTGTTGGCATAGATGTAGTCGTAATGGGTTCAGGTGGGTTTGGTCGTCCCACTGCCTGACATGGGATACAACATTCAATTGTGGTCTTTACCAGATTGTCAATTTGAGGAAAACATATCTTTTCGTGTATCCTTTTGGTCTTGTCTATGCCCAGGTGTGTCTGATGTGCTAAGTCTATTGCTCGCTGTTGTAAACCTGAAGGGATCACGATCCTCGTTCCTCACAGTATCATACGGTGTTGGGTCGTGGTCAGTTCGTCTTTCACGGGCTTATAAGTTTTTACGGCAGGTGCGTCCCATTTGTTTGTGCGTATAGCGTCCCGAACTTGTGTCAATGTGGCATCAGCGTTGGTGGCTTCGAGGATTTCTGTCAAAGTCATTGTTTTTGGCACACTGTGATGTGCAATGAAATTAATGTATTGTTCTGTCATTCATTCTTGTTTTCGACAACTTTCCGCTGTGGGGTGTCGTGACATGTAGTCTGCAGGATTGCTACTACCGGCTTTGTACACAATCTTAAATCCGTAGGGTTGCAAACGGATAACCCATCTTTCAATATGTGCTGAGGTTTTGGCTGTTCGTTTACCGTAGATTATCTCTAGAGGCTTATGGTCCGTCTCGTCTTGTTGAACCAAAAATAACAATATCGTCTGCGATATTCTTAACTCCTGTAAGTCCTTGGAGTGCTGTTTGGAGCGTATGTTGGAACATCTCTGCCGCGGTATTAGTTCCGTAATTTAGTCGCTTATATCTGTATAAGCCTAGGTGCGTGCTAAAGGTTGTAATGTACCTCGATTGTTCATCTAATTCAAGCTGATGATACGCTTGACTTAGGTCTAATTTAGAAAAATACTGTGCACCATTCAATGAGAGGCTTATATCGTCCACAGTTGGTATTGGGTGTCGTACTCTTCAAATCGCGACATGTCGACACAAATGCGACACAAATCTTCGAATGTCGACACAAATGCGAACTTGGCCATCTTTCTTTGGGACCGTAACTATAGGTGAGACCCAGGGGGTTGCTTCATCGTCGGGTACTCGTTCTATTATATCTTGTTCTTCAAGCTTGTGTATTGCGGTTTTTACCCTTTCTCGGATGTGGTGGCGTTGGTGGCTTTGGGTATTTTTGTTTCATCAATGTCTAGCTTGATTTGGGCGTCCTTGAATTTACCGAGTCCCGTAAATACCGTTGAGTGCTTTTGAAGGATGTGATTTATCGCGTTGTCTTTTGTTGAAAGTTTGTCTAAATGTAGACTAACAAGTCCAAGTTCTTGTGCAGTGTTTAGTGATAACAAATTGCCAGACTGTTGTGCTTTAACAACATAAATTGTAGCAGCTGTCATACGCTTCTTTGTTTTGATAACTGCGTCAAATTTGCCGACAAATTCTACCGGATTTGTACTATTGTATGCAAAGGCTTTCACATTTCAGTTTAATGTCTTTCATCTTCTCGAATGTGTTATAATCGATGACGTTTATCGTCGCCCCGGTGTCTACAGCTGTTTTTAGTTTACTACCACCTATGGTGACACTAACTTTGTTGTCCACTTTCGAATCACTAATTGCGTATATGTACTCTTCGTCAAAGCTAGATTGTTGTTCAGTGTCTAGCGTTTTAACATGCTCCTGTCCGTATTTCTGTTTACTTTTGTGTTCCTTTCTCTGTGGTCGTTCGGGTTTCTGTGTTGATCGACACATCATTGCGAAATGGTTTAGTTTCCCACACTTGTTACACGATTTGCCGCGCGCTGGACACACGCTTATATGGGGAAAATCACGACCGCAATTTCTACATTTGGATTTGGAAGTGTTATTAGTATTGTTCCGACATTGTTGTTCTATTCGATTCATTTCTCCGTCCTTTGTTTCTTTTGATTCGATTTCCTTCGTCTGAAAGGTACTTTGTTCGTCTCTACGTCCTTCGATAAGCATAGCTTTTAAATCAAATGTTGGATCACGTAGAGCTCGTTTACGTATTTTCGATGATTTGCCGCCAATAAGGATTTGTTCTTCGATTTCAAACGCGATATCTGTAAACTCACACGTCTCTGCCATTGTGCGCAATCTCGTATGAAATTGGTCCAAAGTCTTGCTGCTTTCTTGTTTAGCTTGCCGAAAACGGTATACTTCATATTGCTTGTTTTTCTGCGGGTCAAAATGGGCTTTTAGTTTTGCCTTGGTGAGTTCGTAATCTGCGCCAGCTCCTGTATCTGGAATTTGTTTGAGGATTTCGCGCACTCGCGAGCCAGCCTGATATAGTAGCAATGCACATTTTATCGTTGAGTCTGTAATTCCACTTGCGGTTAGATACATGTCAAAATCGGATTGCCAGTTATTCCATTTAGTCGCAATGCTTGTACGGAGTTTAGCATATGGACGAAATTCTGGCATTGGTGTGATTGCAATTGACTGCATGACTTGCATCGTCTGTTGTGGTTGCTCATTTTCTTCTGCGTCGGACATTACAGTTTGCGTCTTGTTTATCTTTGTTTTAGCCTCGTCGCCAATTTAATATTCTTTTTATGCTATTATTTTTAATACACACTTTGATGTTTATATATTCTTTATTGTGCTGTTGTCTGCTACCAAATCCCCCACTCACTAACTCCCATATTGCTATTATTGTCCGCATATGTATTCAAATAAGTGTCAATCATTATATTAGTATTAACTATTAACTAGCTCAATACTACAGATATTATATTGAAATGAACTAACTTATATTTTCATGATTAATGTGATTTATTGATGCATGCTTTCCCCTGCACAACTAAAATACTTTCATTTAATCTAGTGAATCCTCCACCTCATGAAAGGCCTGGTATGCTGATTGAATATGCAAAAAAATTATATGTTCTTTGAAATTTTGTATATACTGCTTATATTATTTAGCATTTTATGATTAGAAATGTATAGTGAACTAATTGCATCTTGATATCATGTTGAAATCATGACGGTAGTGGGCAGAGACAGTTGATATATTCAGTTGTGCAACTGTACTTCAGTGCACTATTGTCACATATACAGTGTCAAGCAAGAAATGGATAATGTTCGAACCACATGTAAAATGCCCTGCAAAAATTGCTCACAATCGGTCTTGTGCCTGTCCTCTCACATTAATTTTACACTATCTGTACCCTACAGCCAATCACTTTAATCTTTTGGAACCAGAAGGGGATTGTTGTAAAACAGCCTGTTGTGAATTACAGACTATACTCAAATACTTTTCTGATTAAAACTTCTTGGAACTAATACTTAAAGGTTAAACAATACTTTAATTCATAAGTAAACAAAAGAAAGTGTATAAAAATATACAGATTCAAACAGATTTCAATACGACCTTGAAAGTAAACTCCACTCAAAAGCATGCCATTTTTCTTCTCCCCCCACATGACTCACAGTCCTTTCACTTAGTCTTACACAAAGTTTTCTTATTAAAATTATGACGTAATTGTCACCTAAACACAACACAGCCAGACTTCAAAATCAGTCCACAAAATATAAGTGGATCTGCAAAACGATGATGGAACCTCACCTGTAATCCCCTGTGATATCAATTTACAAAAACAAAATAAACAAAAGCGTAAATTATCTAAAGCAAGCAACCCAAGCTGAATGACTGTGGTTCGACAAGAAAAAAGCAGGCTTTAGAACCAAAAAACAGTGGTGTCAAACCTAAAAGTAAAACCACCTGTACCAAACCAACATGTGATGACCAAAGCTTTAAATTAAAACCCAGTAATATGCACCAAAGAAAAAGCAAGCACCCAGCCAAGCCCATCAAACAAAAAAATAAAAGATAAACATGCGAAACACCAAGCCAAACACTGTAAGTGTGAAATTGAATAAAGATGGACCATCCAAACGAGAAAAGAAAGATAAATATATGAAGAACCATGTCAAACCCTGTATGCCACAAATGAAAGATGAACAGACAGCCAAACTGCAACATGAAGAAGTGCCAGAATTCTCTGCAATGCGAATAAAAGAGTTAAAAGAATACATACAAAAGCGTGTTGTACCAGTTTCAACGTATAAGAAAAGAGATCTTATTCAGTTGGCACATTCTCTACATGATATGAATGCTATTGTTGATCCAGACTTTAGAGAAGATTCTATTGAACACACATTGAATGACCGTTTAACTTTACCTGCTGGGGGGAATGTTCCAAATCAATTCAAAATGAAAAACCTTTCTAATGATTTTTCATTACTGCCAAACTTTGGCTTGATGGATATCTTTAATCATTTAATTATGAGCAGTGCAGAATATGATAAAGATAAACTGGCTTCCTGGAGTATGCTCTATGTCAAAATGGCCATGTTCAATCAATGCAGAACATGGTCATATTTGACAAAGATGATAGCAAATACCACCTTGTTACTGCCCAAGTCATTCCAACCCAAAAAGATAGCACACCAGAAGGAGACAAAATGTACAAGCTATGGTATATTTTTAACCAAATGGAGCCATCTATTCAGCATTTTGTAATTGTAAAGGTGGAGCAGATCAAGGTTGTAGACATCTTGGTGCAGCCTTGTTTACCCAAGCCAGACACAAAACCAGTACCATATATGGATATGAAAATGTCTCATACCCCTGGGCTACATAGCAATAGAGTGGTGACAAACTATGATGAGTCTTGGATAGATTCATTTGATCATAGACCAACTAAGATGATCCACCTAATGAAAAGCAACTGGAATTTGCAAAGCAACTTAAAGACATTGATAAACATTCTGGAATACTTGATTACTTGGGTTTAAAGCAAAGTAATCTTGATCTAAATAATCTCAGTGCACTTAAGTCCTGGCTCTAGCTCATTTTTACCAAGTATGATAAAAACGGCAATTACTCAAAATCTGTTTAAGCAATCTACACCAAACTTGGCACAATACTAGATCGACCTAGTGTTAACATATTGTAACATTCTGTTGCCATGGAAACGGCGTTGCAACCATAAAGTTCGTTATATTGTATGAATGAACTTTGCAGACTTGGGAGATGGGTCTGGGAACATTGTCAATAATACAAGTTGTAAGAACTAGAAAGCACTTATGTTCAAGTTATTCATGCTAACTGGAATAGGTATCTCAAATTAATGTCTTAAGGCCAAGAAGGAATTGTTTTAAAAATTGACATATTTTTTCATTTTGTTTGAATTTTTTTGCACGTTTTTTGTACAACGAATACTCATTCCAATTAGATATAAAAGATATGGGAATAGATAAAGTCATTTTTGTAGTTATGTCACAGAGATTGTTGAAATAGGGTAGTCTCCCATTGCGTTTAATATATAATTATTTTAAAGAAAAATATCCGCCATTTTGGCAGGCGCTGATGACCTCGCCAGCGGATATGCAAACAAAAACGCAAGTTGTTGCCATGGATACCATTCATCGGAATATTGTTAAATACTACGAAATTTACACACGTTAATTCCAAGTCGAATTCCGTTTGACACAAAAAGCTGTTTTTTTTACTCAGGAAGAGTAAAATATAGTTATTTCTTCGCAAATAGTTATTTAGCCTTTAGAAAGCAATTGGAAAGCCCTTTATTAGAATCACAATATGTAAGTTATGAACGATTGCATCGCATTTTGAAGACTATGTTTGATATAAATGGCATATACAAAGCATTAATATTGACTATATATTTACTCACAATACTTTAATACTTTATGGTCTATTGGTGGTCCATCAGAAGAACCTATTTCATGGTACTATACCGGCACTGCTATAAAATACCCTAGCCATCTAGGTTTTAAGTGAGAATTATAACATACAATTACAAATTTCACCTACACAAAATGCTATTAAACAACAAATTCCTGGACAAACATTATTTCTCATATTGTTTAGTAATACATTTGTATAATTATTAAATTCTACTTTCAAAATAGTCTATCTTCAGATAAAATGATCAGGGTACATATATTAATTATCCTAATTTCAGAATCTTCAAATACTTCCTCAAACACCCCCCCTGGTTTTAGTGTATTGTTTTTGGTGGGAAATTTAAAAAAACATAGTTCTATGAGATTCAAGATTCAACAGAAAAGAACATGGGTTAGTGACTAATATGACACGAGCATTTCTGTGCCCCACTACATGTGGATTTGCAAGAGCTATTGCATATAAATTGTCTGTTGACATAAGAGGTAACTTAAAGAAAAATGATGGAGAAGCTAATGCAAAATATACTTCAAGATTACTCCAGGAGCAATACTTGCAATTTAATTCTAGTTTTGATGAAGTAAAAGAAAATTTTACTATACCCTATAAGATGTTTGCAAAGAAATTGCCTCTATTAAGAGACATTATAAAAAAGTGGAGCCCCCGTGACTACCATAATAGGAAAAGGTACCTGGATGTGTTTTCCTTGGAAAATTGGAAGAAACTAAGTGACACAAAGAAGCAAGAACATTCATTCGTGAACTGTCGGGGTTGTGCTGTCCGTTTTTCTGGTACTCAAGCACTCTTTCCAATGAAATCTACATTCCACAAGTCGAAAGCCTTGTCTAACCCAGTTTCTGCAGCCATTGATGAAGCAAGTAGAGCAATACCAAATAGCAGTGGCCTCAAACCATCCCAGAAAGATATGAAACAGGCAGTTAAGAACTTTTATGACAAAACATCACCAATTTTCCAGAAGACGTATAATGCCAGTCTTGGAGAATGCTTGTCAAAAGTCCCTGACCTAAACATACAGCACCAAACAAAGAATGAGATTCGAAAGAAACGACGAAATCAGTACAGGGAATCTAAACAAAATGTTGAAAATCAGATGCAAGAGAGTGCCTTTCTAAGGTAAATGCAACTATTTTAGCATTTAACTATGTGGAATGCAAGTTGGCATTACTATCAAGCAAACTATGTCTAGCTTGCATGTTAGTAGGTTGGCCAAAATATCTATGGGGCTTTTTTGGGTCACCTTCAGTGTGTTCCAAATACCCGACCATCTTACACTGATTTATTTTAATTCTCAGGGGATCTAAGACATGCATAATTTAAGTGGGCTACTAGGTAATCTAGCAGACCTCACTGTCATCAGCATGACTGGATTGTGTCCTTAATTTACAGTAACTATTATTTTCCAATGCAACAATTGCCTAGTTGTATCTAGTAATGCACTTTGTGCATATGAAAAAGATATTAATTTATTTGTTTATTTATAAGCTTTGTCAATCCTGACCGGTGATCCCTATAGAGCTTATTGCTCCATTAATTAACAGGGTACCTAAAACTATATTACATACAAACAACATTTACAAGATAGTGGTTATTTCACTGTCCCCTGAGTGCCAATCACATATAGTGTCAATATATAGTGTTTTTCTACTTGCATGATATAATTAGGTTAAATCTGAGTCAACATGAGACCAGCTTAAAAAGATCTGTCACCATGCTTAAAAAATTTACTACAAAGATTTGCCCATAATAAAACCATCCCTAACAGCAA